TACATTGGTCCAGACAACCGTTTCAGACGTTCTGTAATAATCTGTGCACACTCATATTCTCACGAGATTCCGCACAACAATGTTTCGCCCACTGCCTCGAGAATGTATTACCTTCAGCAAAATATTCGAGATTGAGTCAAGACTGGTTAGTGACAGTCATTGAGTTGCGACAGTTTCATTTAATAAGTAAACGTAGTTGTTATTGATTATATATGCCTATCGTGTTTTGGATTTATAGTTTTTAACATATATAGACCTTCTAAGACATTCTTGTTTGACTATTAACCTCTTCGCGAGAGACGTTTAAAAGTTAGAGCGTTAAGTTAGGATAAGTTGTATGCATGAACAAATTTATTGTAATTAGGGGCGACATTTCTGTGTAAGTTCAGACACCGTTATCAAGTAAGCGCAAAACCAGGTAAATGGAATTCGGGTAACTTGAAAATAAAAGGTCAACGACCGAGAACAAATTAGATTTGAACAGTCGAATAAACTCAGATCTATTGCAGCAATGCTACATACATTTAAACAAGAGGATATGTAGTAGTAGTAGCAAATATTCAAAACCAATACATATTTCCCTTAAAAAGGATGGCTGTCAACTTAAGCTGTGTGTATTCTATATTATCGTTGACTTGTTCTCGAAAATCTTTACGCTTTACGACAACTTATGATAAATCCTTAATTGACAGCAGTGACATAGTCTTTTGTGACGAGAGGCGGTGGGGTAGCCTAGTGGTTAAAGCGTCCACTCGTCACGCAAAAGACACAATTTCGATTCCCCACATGGGTACAATGTGTGAAGCCCATTTCTGGTGTCCCCCGCCGTGATATTGCTGGAATATTGCTAAAAGAGGCGTAAAACTAAACCCACCCACTCACTCATTTTATGAATATTATTAATCATTCTCGAGTATCTGCCGAAGCAGGCTCACTTAGGAGTAAAAGGCATAATAGTAGTAAGAATATATATGAATGGATAACTGTATATTGGTGATAACACCAGGTGTTTGCGAAAAGGTTAGCATGTCCTGCCCATGTAAAAAATTCAAAGACAAGATGGGAAATCGATGTTGCATTTTAGGTGCGCGAGTCAATATAGGACATTTGACAAAAAACATCACTTGGCCGTTTTTATCTGATCGTGACAAGGATCCGTTTTTATCTGATCTCTCTGTACCTTGTACATATATGCCATCAAGAACAATTTTAGCAATGACGTCATTGCAGCGCGTGAAACACTGCAGAGAACAAGTTATGCCTGTGCTGACCTTGAGAGTGAGCGAGCGAGTTACAAGTTAGACTCAGGTCGACAGTATTTCAGCCATATCGTGACAAGAACAAGTTTACATACATAATAAGTACACGTAGTTAACTTAAAATTCTGTCATCGAAGGACAGTAGTAAATAAGCTAGTATGTCATTCTTAAAATAGCTCACCATACCTAACAATACAATATAGAAACGGGCCTATAGATCGCTTGCAGCTGAAGGTATATAGATCCACCACATAAAAACTGACATTGGTCAAGGAATTGGCTTATGTGTGTTAAAGACCAAAAACAACTAAAATCTGCATTTGTAAATAGAAACGCCTAAACCCGATCAATATCTCAAAGATCGTGTATCCAACCCTATTCTTAATCATTAAAAGAGTCCATTGTACGATTCCGACTAAATCGGAATGTGCTTCTGAATCGCTGTCAATCAGTAATGATACCAGGTCTTTGTAAACAGGTCAGTGTATCCTGTGTCCAACAGGTGACCCCATCCAAACACACACAGGGCAAGTCAATGTTTCACCAATGAAGTAGGGGAACCTATGGTACAAATGAAAATAATGAATCGCATCTGATGATATTTTGTCACCTATGCACCAAATTTGGGAATCCCAGTCACATGTTGTGCCAAAGGTAAACCTTTCCAGGGCTTCAGTGAGGCCTTGAAGGTTGTCACAGACAATCGTAGAATGACACCGTAAGGCTAAGTGACAAATAGTTATCTCATCTTGTATAAAACCCACATTAACTCAAACCTCTTTAGGGGTGGTGGGGTAGCCTGGGCCCCGTTCCTCAAAGCGATCGTAACCCTAAGATGATCGTAACTCCCATACTTTAACATAGACTTACGACTGCCGTAGCGCTAAGATGATCGTAACTCCCATACTTTAACATAGACTTACGACTGTCGTAGCGCTAAGATGATCGTAACTCCCATACTTTAAGGAACAGGGCCCTCGTAGCGCTAAGATGATTAAAGCCCATTTTTAACATAGACTTACGACAGTCACGCAGAAGACCTGGACACGATTCGCCGAAGACCTGGGCACGATTCGTGGAAATAGGCGCTTTATAGATGGTCATTATTATCATATTACAAATCAAAACAGGGAATTGTATCGGAAAACATTTTGGTCACTGATGCACTTACAAATGTCTTCAACATAAAACCATTTAAAAGTTGTACTGAGGCCTTGAATGCTGAAACATTGAACAAGAACAGAATGACTGCCTTTGCAATTTTGACATATTTGTTTTAAATTTAAACTCTTTTAGATTTATTTAGGACGCAGGTATTCAGTTGCCATGCGAACAAAACAAGTGTTTGTGTCAAATTAGGAAAGTTTGGCACTTTTTCAAAGTACTTGCTCTGGAAATCAAGAATGGGCTTAGCAAACAGTATCCGCACAGGGAGTTAAACTCGGGTAATCGACAAAACAATCGAAAACTTTAATTACCGCATCGCCCCTTTAGAAGAGTGTTTTTCTTGAGACGATTTTTAACTGTCGACTTTAAGATGTCAGAGAACACAAGGAGCGCATACACGGTAGACAACATGCTGTTTCTCACCGATATCCCGTGTCGTTTTTAATTTATTTAAAGGTATTAGAATGAAAAAGAATACTTTAAAGTGCGCATGATTAGACATTTAATTTCATAAATCAGAAAGCAATTACTCGTTTTCTATTTTCCAAATGAATATTTGTGTCCCCCCGACAATAATCGCTAGGTAATCCCATTGCATGTTTCGCATAATGGCATGAAAATGACAGATCAAAAGAAAAATGCACTAATCTTTTCAGCTTCGCCCTCCAAACCTTTTGACATGCAAAATAGATGCACGTGCTATGATGCCAACCCCCAAAGGACACAACAAAGGAAATGTTAAATATAGGATCGGTAAACGAAAGCGAATTTAGATCCATATCTCAAAGAAAGTGTATCCAATCCCAATTTTAGATCCACCTGTCAGCTGTACATGGGTGAAGATGATGAAATAGCTGCGTAAGATTTATGGTAGTTGAAGGTAGGGGAGGGAAGAGGGGTGAGGGATAGGGTGGGGTTGATGGTCTGGAGGGGGGGGGGGGGTGGTACAGAGGGTGAGAGACTTGTTTATTGCAGTTTTTTGGTTAGAATTCGTAATTGTGTGAGTAAGGGATCTGCTTGTTCAACAGAAAGTAGAGCAAAGTGAACATTTGGGCAGCATAAGGACAAAACGACAAGGGACAGTGATGGGATCGGCTGGGCATGAGGCAAAGGTAAAATAACTAAATAACCAAAATACAGTTAACAAGCAAGTGAAGGTGGGTCTTTGTACATTTGGTTTGGGAGTGGGACGATTAGGATAACGCACGGTAGGTTTAAAGTAGAAGAGGTTGAGGTCGAGGCCCGTGGAGTCACCGTTCCGACAAAGCTGTGCGATCTGGGTGGCAGAATCTCCAGCCATAACGACTGATATCTTTGTGCTAAAAACACGAAAGGTATAAACGTATAGCTACTTTACCGTACCCAGTGAACCTGCATAGTGTTTGATCTGGGAACGACACCAGCGGGTGGCCTCGCAGTGTCGGGGGGAATTTCATAAACTACCTCAGGTTTTGTCATTCTCCACTCACACATGCATGTATTGGGGATATGAGCTTCTGTAGGCCGATGCTCTGGTCCTAATTGTCCATTCACAATCGTATAAACAGCCGGTGTGTTTCCTCGTTGCGTTTGACGTTGCGCTTCTATCACACTCATGGGACTTCATCCGTCAAGTGCACTCGTAATTGAATGGGATGGGTTCATCGCGCTTCTTTTCGTCACGAATAATGACTGAATATTATGATTATTTTTTTCTTTTCTCTTCAGTTTCCCTTTCCTTGGGTTCACTGATGCGGTGAGCCATCAAGATTTCCACCAAATAAATGGGTTTCACTGCACGCGTCGGAGCGGCTTCTACGACGTGACACTGCTCACTTTGTCGCTTGTTCGGGGTTAATCCTGAGATTACGAGGGCTCAATGGTAGGTTCTGTAAGGAATTATAAGCTTTTCCTATGACGGATAGGCCCCAAGAAATTGAGATCAGCTCCCTGTTAACGTGTAATGATGTCGGGTGGAGATGACAAGGGTTCAGGAATGTTATCGTGTTTTTATCGGCAAAGTTACCTCACAGGAGAATTCAGCCAGAACAGATTAAGTTTTAATTTGAAGTCAACCGAATTTTCATTTAATTTGGAAACCGATTTTAGGTGTGTCTGAAAGTATCCATTAGTGTAGGTGTTTCAGTGCATACATTGCAGTTTATAAGAAGAATGTTTACTCTATTGTCTATGATTTGGGCACTCTGTCCGTATTAACCAGGTTCATTAAAAATGAATCAAAATGCGGACTGTTGTCTCTACAAATACATTGGTGATATAATTAAACACTGACGTGAATACCCAGTAACAGCATTATTCAAATGGAAAGCGGTTAAATACTGTTTTTATTATTATATATCGGTAATACAACAGACCCCGTTAATCCAGACGCTATAGTTTACACTGAATTCGTCCGTACTAACAGATGTCCGGATAAACGAATCAATGACAACGAATATGTATCTTATGGAGTAATGTAAACTTCCGTCAAAGAATCTTCCGGAAATTGAATGTCCTGATTATGGGAGTCCGGAATAAACAGGTTTATATGTATCATGAACTAACAATTCCAAATATAATACTGAAAACCCCAGATAAAAATCATTATTTATTCTTCAGCAAAATGATACAGGCTAACAGTTCACATTGTATAAACTACACTACAACATTTTGATGAAATGGCACTTTGTTCATTTGAGTCAACGTATTACAACAATCACATAAGTTAGTAAACATATAAGTAAACATGTGAATATTTCATAAAGTCATATGCTATTCTTTCACAGGTACATGTTTCCTTTCTGTAAGTAACGTGACAAGGGAGACAACCATGCTGTGTCAAGCTAGTTTTGTAAATGAATTCAAATCCGCAGTAATATTTGCCATGGCTTTGTGTATGGGGCATGGTAGCCTTGCTCAAAGGCTTTACTGAATGCTAAGCCTGTGGATGTATAGTAATTTATTCCTTTAAGGAGGCAGGTCTAGATAAGCGTAAATTATAGGACGCCAGTCAAGCGTAAATTATTACTATTTACATTTTCAGGAATTTTTATTTAAACTATTAATTATTGTCTAGGGGCATGGTGACCGCGTGTGTTGAGATTTGGTCCGATATGAACAGCATTTCAGTTATTCCACGTCAGTTAAAAGTCTGGGGAATATCCAAAGTCAAGATGCCAAAGTCGATCACTTAAGATGGGTTGTCAAAATCGCAATACTCCAACGACATTATAACGGACTACCTAATAGGGTCATGACCTACACAGGCCAGTGATTGATATTAGAGCACCAATCCACGCCGTAGGGGTACATGTTGTCAACTTAGACACCGAATCTGAACACGATCCAATTTTTCGCTTTTAAGGACAAGGATTGGTAGTTGGAACAATCCCAGAATCCCCTCGAATATAGTGCTGACGAATCCAGATAATCAGGGCGAATCTCAGTAACCAAGGGACACAACTCAACATACCATGGCAACCACCACTAGGATCCCCTGGCCACGCTTGTGGAACCGATATACATTTACAAAGCAGCACATAAGGCAAAACATAACATTGATTCATATGAATATTCATCTTACGTGTAAATTAAGGTATTGTTGACACATTTTACAGGAGAATATGAAAAAACAAAGCACATTGTGTTGAACAAATATCATCGCAAACAGAGCGACGAATCAAGTAGTGTTGTTTTATACCTACCCTTAAATATGTTGTTTTTTTCTTAAGGAGAATAGATATATCTGTATGCGAAACTAGCACCAAACAGTTTCCATTAAACTTAAGTTAACCTGAGACCAAATTTCAAGATCGGCATTTTGAGCAACAGTCATATGACATAATTATGCAATAGGAAATATACGGAAATGCCATATGTATAGCTATATATAAATACACATAAACTTTAACTAGAGGATATGTCTACAAGTAGTAAGCAAATATTCAAAACCAATACATCTTTCCCTTAAATAGGATGGCTGTCAATTTAAGCTGTGTGTATTCTATATTATCGTTGTTCTCGAAATCTTTACGCTTTAAGACAAATTATGATAAATCCTTAATTGACAGCACTGACATAGTCTTTTATGACGAGAAGCGGCGATGGAACCTAATGGTTAAAGCGCCCGCTCGTCACGCCGAGGACCCGAGTTCGATTCCCTACATGGGTACAATGTGTGGAGCCCATTTCTGGTGTCCCCCGCCGTGATATTGCTGGAATATTGCTAACAGCGGCGTTAAACCATACTGGCTTTTGTGACGACTATCATGTGTGGTCCAGCTTAAGGACGAATTTCCCTGCAGGTGTATAAAGATGACGAATCAATGTCCGGAATCTGTACAAAAGTTGATATAGTACACATCAGGATTCCGAATTAATCGCACTTGTTTTAAGACTATCTGGTGTTACCCAAAATCTGTAACATGGTTGTAACATGCTTGCTATGTACAGCATGTTTAGAGCCATTGAAAAGCAAGTCATTCATGTCTTAACGTTTGCCTCAAATGTCATGGTTATATTGCAATGAAAGACTCATCGTAATCGTCGAATATTCATCTCACAACAGAAATGTTGTGACACATCTTTGCATAACTGTCATTGGCATTGATAGCCAACACTTGAGATATATTTACATGCAATAACCTTTCGTTCAGGCTATTCGTGTATCGCGGTGCTATTGATAAAGCTACGTCCTGGTGTGTCATTGATGCAATAAGGACCTCTTTCATCACGGCCCCAAATAACAATGGTCGTTGTATATATACAGCCAGTGATTCATTTTTGCGTCATGGACATATCATTATTCATCGGTACCTCATGTGTTGACCATTGATAATAACAAACCGTACATGAGTCGGATGCAACATGCACCATTTTACACGAGTGTGTTGCACCGTCTTCAACATTTTACACGAATCGGATGCAATATGTGCAACATTTTACACGAGCGTGTTGCACCATCTGCAACATTTGACTCAAGTGTTGCACCCTCTGCAATATTTTATACGAATCGTATGCAACATTTTACACGAGTCTGTTGCACCCTCTGCAACATATTTACACGAATCGGATGCAGCATGTGCAACATTTTACACGAGTTACTTGAACCCTCTGCAACATTTGACACGATTCTGCTCAACCCTCTTCAACATTTTGCACGAGTTTGTTGCAACAACGGCAACATTTTACACGATTCTGTTCAACCATCTGCAACATTGTGCAAGAGCCCCTTGAGCCCAAAGCTAGGTCTGCGTCCTACGAGAAAAAACATACTAGTTTTTGTCCTCTTCCTGAACCAACTGAATCCAACGTCGACAACTAGTCTTCTCTGATGTCACATCCTTCATTTCTTAAAGATAATCAGAACAGTTTGAGGAGAAACCACGGCCATGTCATGAAACTAGTTTCAGATGTTTTACAATAAAGACACAGATTCCACTATGGCTGGTAACCCATACTTCGTATTCATCCACAAAGGGAAACTGTCAGTATATACACAACTACCATTGTCGTAACAGATGGCCCAGACAATGCTAATTTGACCCCGGATGGGCAAGTTTTGGTCGTGCTTCACAGACATAGTGTACAGTCTATTAGCTCGGTGAGATCGTGGATAAATATCTTTGCGATGATCTGTACAATCTGGCAGATTAAATGGATGTAGATGAGCGCGAGTTTGCAACCCCTCCGCTGCTATGGAAACCACTATCTGATGATAGTTCTGCCCTTTCTGAAAGAAATAACAATAACGTCAACATGTGCATAGCGGACACAATTAGGTCACAGGCATACGTAATGATTGTAACTATCCTTGAAATGCATCAACTCAATTACAAAATATAACTGTGCAAAAAATAACATTCATTAAGTTTCGAACTCGGTTCATGGCTTTTCGAAATTGTCTCGCTTGTGAAAGAGTTATGTGCCTTTGGTGTTGGCTGAAAATATTTTACTGACGCTTGTCAATGTTTCTCACTTTTGATCTTGACGTCATCATTGCTGTTCTGTGAACTATTTGTCGACGCCATCGAGTGTTTCACTGTGTTGTTTGAGACAGGGGTCGTGCAGCCTGAAGTTAAAAAATATGGTGAATCTTCATCCTCCAGAAAATAGATAAAACAAATGCAAAACAAACAAATGAAAATTGGTTGTATATGATGAAACGGAAGTGTGTTTAATATACGAGCATGGTGCAGCTACGATTTAAGATTAAGTCCACCTAACAACCACATGTAATGACCTAATATTGTATCCACCAATACATATTACGGTAGCTTGTTTTCACTTTCTTAATGCTTTTTAAAATAGTTCCACAGATCGCCGCCATATAGCTGGAACATTGCTGAGTGCGGCGTTAAACAACAAACCAACCAACCAATCCACAGATTGAGGAAAAATTAGGTTAATGATTCAAAAGACTGTTACAGAAGTTCAATTTACATCACAGACAGTAGTGAAATTGACAAAATAGCTACACAAACAACGAGGAGGCGGTTTAACGCATAAACAAAGTGAGTCGCACGTAAAATCCCTCATACACATCCACAAACACGGTGAGAAAACGGGTGTGAGTGTGTTAACCTTTTGAGAACTGTGATAAAAACATCCAAGAGCACATTTAAATCTGCTTTATGGCTCTGCCTCTCCCACAAGCCATGCATAGGGTTCTTTAACACTGAGGTCATGCGCTGTACACACCACCCCAATAAACAAAAGCGATTAAACCCTCCCCCTGTTTAAGAGAAACCTCAGAGCAGAGTCGATGAAACAATGCAACGAGGAGTGTAACATGAAGTACTTTACACTCTGTGTTAACATTAGTGACGATGATGAACATGCTTTTCTTTTCAGCGGCATGAAAACAGAACCACACAACACAAATTTCTTATTAGAATACCATCACCACAAAAATAAATAAAAATAAATTCAATTAGGGTGTTATACACAGACAATAAAAAATGCTTTCAATGTCACCTGGGCTAGTTTTCATGCGAGCTGGAGGATAAATACAAAGACCAATTATATAGAATTACACATCGCCTTATAATTCATCATGCCCTGCTCTTCTATCATAACAAGTATGCCACGTCAAACAAATGTAGATTTACTGACCTGGTTTAAATGTTAATAATGTTACTTGATCCTGATCGTTCGTTTTATCCACATGATATACCGTTCTTTCCACTGAAATGATTTTAAAATTGTCACTTTGTCGAGCCTGTTATGACATGTGAAACATTTCTAAAAAAGGAATTAAGCCATCAGGATTGCTATCTACGTTATGGAACAGCATAAGCGTTAGATTACGGCGATGTACCTTAATAAAGCATGGTAAAAAAGGATGGTTCGTCTTGATTTGCTGGTCAGTGACACCCAGGTACATTCTCACGTTGGAGATCTTAAGGCGTTGTGTATAAACAGGTGTCCGGTTGAAGAAAGGACCGGATGAATTTCTTTGAGAGTCATACTGACTGTTGCATTTACCTCAAGAGAAGTGAACTAAATATTTCCTTGTGATTCAAAACTGAATTTGTTTTAAAGGCAATGAAGAAGACGAAGGGTGATAAAAAGCGGCGTCAAAGCAGAGTCGTCTAAAAATGAGCAGTGAACAGGTTGTCCAGAAAACATATTGTCAAAACAGTCTGATCTACAAAATAGAATTGTCAAAGCAACGAAGTCTATACAACATGCATATCCAAGCGTTCTAGTCATGGCGACAATGGAACTAGTCAAGGGAAATGCCTACTTCTGTGAATTTACTGAAATCGTTTTTCATAAAGTGTGGTACCATATGCTGTATTTAGTTTGAAATGATTGAATTATGAAAACAACTGTCTGCTCATTTTCTGTATTTCCACGAACGCATTTATAAACTCATTCGTTATAAGATTATGTTTAGGAGAAGCATTTATACAGGCTAATTGAGCCTGTTTGCTGATCCTTTTTCCTTTTATATTCATTATTCTTCATTGCATATTACATGTGTTTCGGGAAATATACTGTTTAAATCAATTTACTGAAATGGGTAAGCTGAAAACAATTTCTAATTACAATTATATACCGGACAAAAATAGTTAGGGATATATGCAAATTTTGAAATTATGAATAATGATCTATTTATTCATTGTCACACTGATGAAATATCAATCATAAAAATACCAATATCCCTAACTTATTTTGTCCAGTATATATGTATTAGAAAACAAATAAGAACAACAAGAAAACTAGGACATCGGGGCAGGGGTGTGTGAGAGGAGGAAGTAAAAAGACATGGTTTGTGTAGAGCGGAAACGTATACCCAATATTCAAAAGGGTGGGTCCTAAACCAAATGATTTTGTCATTAAAACGGTAAGATGGAATTACCGTCGTGTTTGGCGATCACCGCACTGCGGCAGTGGTTGGAAGGCTCAAAATCCTCATGTACAAAGTGCAGAGATGTTGGGGCATCATTTGATTTTGTCGTTATATTTGTTTTACAACTGATCAGAACACGCGTACACTTCTACAGAAACGGATGTAACGAACTTATGGATACAACTTATTACAAAGATCCCAACCACTATACTATATACGGAATTCACAGGATTCTGTAGAAAGAACGATCGAACTGATTTCTCTACCTTAAGAGACCTTGAAATAAACATTCTCTTACGCAATAAAGAACAGGGTCCCGTTTCACAAAGATATCGTAGCGCTACGACTGTCGTAAGTGTATGTTACAGTATAGGAGGTACGACAGTCGTAGCGCAACGATAGCTTCGTGAGACGGGACCCTGGGCCTAGAGTTTCGAAGCTCTCTTAGTGCTAAGATAGTCGCAACTTAATGTTAAAGTATGGCACTTACGACTATCTTAGCGCTAAGAGAGCTTCGAAAATCTACGCCCTGGTCATTCTCACATAGAGATGGTCACATCATGCTGAAAGCAGTTAAAAGTGGTACTTGATGTTAACCTGCCTAGCATGCATTATTAAGAACTGGTCGTCTCTAAATCGGTATACATGCTAGTTGTATGTTCATATCTGTGATACTCTAGTATTTTTACTGTCCATCGTCGACAGGTTTAATTCTTGACAATGTTTTCATTTTTGTATTATATAAATTGCCTTCGTCACGATATGGCTGAGATATTGCCGATATGACGTTAAATATTAACTCACTCACTCACTCACTCTAAATCGGTATAATGGGTCTCCAATATAATGTCGATATAATGAAGCGAGGTATTAATGTTAACGTGCGGCATAGTAACTCAGCGGGATTTGACGATAACAACTCATTAGCCTGGACTACTACAAGCAGACACACATAAACATGTAGGTCGCGATGTATGTACAACTTTAAATGCTGCACCTCACACAATGGCAGTCGCCATCAGCCGCTAATCAAACAACCGGCATGCCGTAATCCCATTACCGTTACAGTAACATACAGATTAATCAATTTGTGTCAATTTAACTTGACAGTAAATCAATACTCATACCAACCATAATTAGTTTATTATATTAATTTCCTTCTCAGGTATATACCATTATTTCTTAGCGAGAGTGTTGTTTGATCCGAACCAGTCAAAAAACGTAGCAATATCACATCGGCTAGTTAATTTATCTGATAATACATGGCATTAGCCCTAATTGTTAACACGTGTAGAAACATGAGAGACGTTTCACTAATAAATGAATCGGAAGAAACTACCAGGGGGGATATCGAATCAGAAGGGACATACATTCAAGGAATTAAAGAGAGCAACAATGTATTTTATAACTCTAATCACCATCTCAGGTAACAGTAGCTAACACATTATCAGTCGTAAAATGTTTCAAGATATTATTCATGATCAGTAATGATCATATATGTTCCTATTATCATAATATTAGTCTGTGTCACAGTCCCCGAACCTCATTATTTTCCCTTCTGCGAAAACCTTTCTGCTATTCTAAAGCCCTAAATGAAGCAAATCTCAGGTTCTCAACCTCCCTCCTCACTGGTCTCCTTTTCAATATAAAAAGGAATTGTTTGTTTCTATCAAAATTACATATATTCAGAGACTACCCGCTAGTCTGTCATATTATGTACATTATTCTGACATCCTATTATATACCCAAGTAAACTTAGGATAGTGATACAGGAGTGCAAGACGGATAACGTCATCAAATTCCGTATTGCACCCCAGATTCCGTACTGAACCCCTGCCGGTTCTACTTATTAAGTAACAGATTATTGCAAGATAAGAGGGTATATAATAAATATATAACGTCATACTACAGTAACGTCATTTGGATGTTTGTAGATGTCATGGCATGGCATGACTCGAAGATGTCATGGGAGCAGAGAAACAATTCGTTCTTCGAACTCGTTGTGTCTCTGCTCCCATGACATCTTCTCGTTCAATACTAAACATCCAAATGCACTAGTATGACGTTCTATATATGTACGCGCTATGTCCCAACACTATCGAGGGCATTATTAACCTGACCAGTACTAGATGTTGCACTAGGACGTGGGACTTTGAGCCAACCCAATAGGTCATGATCTGGAACATCAAGCATTAGAGTGTCACCTTTCACCCTTGAAAATAACAGCAAGCATTGGCTTTGTATCATACATCGTATGCATAACAGATCCAAGTAAAGACTATAGTGCTATTATGGAACTGCGTCTGTAGTGGATATACCACTCATGCTTAGCTTGGCTCAGGCAATAGGAGGATATATGTTTATACACAAATACCCCTTGTTAGTGTCTTCTATTCGGACAGCACTACTATATGCAATAGAATACAAGCGAGAAGGAAGCATCCTTGTGGGTAGAAAACTAGTTTGAAAGCTGACGCTGATTTTTAGAAAGCTCAAATGTCACGGAAGAATATTTTGTTGATATAGTATAAACTGACATTTTTAATGAATTTAATATTCATATTATTTTCTTTATATTGATTACATATCAAACACGATAACGTGTTAGAATCTTAATATTCAAGTTGGATTTTAGCGATCGCAAATACCATTCGTGATCCCGAGCTTCAAACTTACCTTTGCTTGAAGAACGTTCTCCCGATTTTTCGTCCATAGTTTCGCAACATGGTAACTTTCGTCTCCACGCCGTAAGTGCATCCTTCTTAAATATGCAGTAGAATATGAAAATAAACAGCCCCTGGAGGGAATTTGTAATGGCAAACAGGTAGTAGAAGACTATGCTGGCACGGTCAATGGCAAAGACCGCAAACACCCAGGTGAGGCCAAGAAGGATGACCACACCCACTGCCCCCCGCAGCTGTGTCATAGTGCTGGTGTTGTCCGACTTGTTCAACTTCCTGCTGGACAGACCAAGAATCTGGCGCAATACCAGACCAAAGGCGGCGAAGTTGATCAGCAAGATCAGGGCGACTGGAGCAAGGAATGCTGCGTAGAAGGCCGGGTTCCTGATCCAGCAGCTGGAGACAGAAGATGGTACTATCACAGACCACTTTACATACAATCATAGACCACTTTACATACAAATATAGACCACTTCACATACAATCACAGAACGCTTAAGATACAATCACAGACCGCTTTACATACAATCACAGACCGCTTTACACACAATCATAGACCACTTTACACACAATCACAGACCACTTTACAAACAATCACAGACCACTTTACATACAATCACAGACCTCTTTACACACAGTCACAGACCAATTTACATACAATAACAGACCTCTTTACACAATCACAGACACTTTTACACACAATCACAGACCACTTTACATACAATCACAGACCTCTTTACACACAATCACAGACCACTTTACATACAATCACAGACCACTTTACACACAGTCACAGACCACTTTACATACAATCACAGACCTCTTTACATACAATCACAGACCACTTTACATACAATCACAGACCACTTTACACACAATCACAGACCACTTTACATACAATCACAGACCTCTTTACACACAGTCACAGACCACTTTACATGCAATCACAGACAAATTTACATACATCACAGACCACTTTACACACAATCACAGACCACTTTACATACAATCATAGACCACTTTACATACAATCACAGACCACTTTACATACAATCACAGACCACTTTACACACAATCACAGACCAATTTACATACAATCACAGACCACTTTACATACAATCACAGACCACTTTACATACAATCATAGACCACTTTACATACAATCATAGACCACTTTACATACAATCACAGACCACTTTACACACAATCACAGACCACTTTACATACAATCATAGACCACTTTACATACAATCACAGACCTCTTTACACACAGTCACAGACCACTTTACATACAATCACAGGCCTCTTTACACACAATCACAGACCACTTTACATACAATCATAGACCACTTTACATACAATCACAGACCTCTTTACATACAATCACAGACCACTTTACATACAATCACAGACCACTTTACACACAGTCACAGACCACTTTACATACAATCACAGACCTCTTTACACACAATCACAGACCACTTTGCATACAATCACAGACCGCTTTACATACAATCACAGACCACTTTACACACAATCACAGACCACTTTACATACAATCATAGACCACTTTACATACAATCACAGACCTCCTTACATACAATCATAGACCACTTGACATACAATCATAGACCACTTTACGTACAATCACAGACCACTTTACACACAATCACAGACCACTTTACATACAATCATAGACCACTTTACATACAATCACAGACCTCTTTACACACAATCACAGACCACTTTACATACAATCACAGGCCTCTTTACACACAATCACAGACCACTTTACATACAATCATAGACCGCTTTACATACAATCACAGACCTCTTTACACACAGTCACAGACCACTTTACATACAATCACAGGCCTCTTTACATACAATCACAGACCACTTTACACACAATCACAGACCACATTACACACAGTCACAGACCACTTTGCATACAATCACAGACCTCTTTACACACAATCACAGACCACTTGATATACAATCATAGACCACTTTACATACAATCACAGACATCTTTACACACAGTCACAGACTACTTTACACAAAGTCACAGACCACTTTACATACAATCACAGACCACTTTACATACAATCATAGACCACTTTACACACAATCACAGACCACTTTACACACAATCACAGACCACTTTACATACAATCACAGACCTCTTTACACACAATCACAGACCACTTTACATACAATCACAGACCACTTTACACACAATCACAGACCACTTTACATACAATCATAGACCACTTTACATACAATCACAGACCTCTTTACATACAGTCACAGACCACTTTACATACAATCACAGACCACTTTACACACAATCACAGACCACTTTACATACAATCACAGACCACTTTACATACAGTCACAGACCACTTTACATACAATCATAGACCACTTTACACACAGTCACAGACCACTTTACACACAATCACAGACCACTTTACATACAATCATAGACCACTTTACATACAATCATAGACCACTTTACACACAGTCACAGGCCTCTTTACATACAATCACAGGCCTCTTTACATACAATGACAGGCCTCTTTATATGCAATCACGGACCTCTTTACACACACAGTCACAGACCACTTTACATACAATCACAGGCCTCTTTACATGCAATCATAGACCACTTTACATACAATCACAGACCTCTTTACACACAATCACAGACCACTTTACATACAATCACAGACCACTTTACATACAATCACAGACCACTTTACACACAATCACAGACCACTTTACATACAATCATAGACCACTTTACACACAATCACAGACCACTTTACATACAATCACAGACCACTTTACATACAATCACAGACCACTTTACACACAATCACAGACCTGTTTACACAGTCACAGACCACATTACATACAGTCACAGGCTTCTTTACATGCAATCACAGACCACTAAACATGCAATCAGAGACCACTTTACACACAATCACAGACCTCTTTACACACAGTCACAGACCACTTTACACACAATCACAGACCACCTTAAACACATTTTGCTATATTTTGTTTGTTGATTAACGCTGCACTCAGCAATATTCCAGCTGTATGGCGTCGGTTCTTACATAATCGAGTCTGGACCAGACAATCCAGTGATCAACATCACTAGCATCGATCTGCGCAATCTGGATACGATGACAAGTGTCAACCATGTCAGCGAGCCTGACCACTCAATCCCGTTAGTCGCCTCTTACGACACGTGTTCGATTCCCCACATGGGTAGAATGTGTGAAGCCCATTTCTGGTGTCCCCCGTCGTGATATTGCTGGAATATTGATATACGCGGTGTACAACTAAACCTACTCACTCTTACGATAAGCACGGGTTGCAGAGACCAGTTCTAACCGGATCTTCCCGGATTCGCTATAACTAAGCTTTCAGGATGATAAATGGGTAACTTTACGTATGTGTACAAATTAATGGTTAAAGACACATGTCTGGAGTTGCTGTATGTGTTTCTTCCAGAATTTATTAAAGACTTGGTTGGACGGGTCTGTTCATAATGATTATGCTATCTTGTACCGCATGCATGCCACTAACTTACATTCCGGAAGCAAGCTCCCCATAGTTCTCCGTCGCGTTGATCCCAAGGGTGATCGCTACCACTACAAGGGGGAAGGCCTGTATCATGGAACACAACAAAGAGAATCATTTAACAACATTGAATTATTAACCGCTCTCTTCTGTTTCCATCAATAAATGTGTCCGTACTGGACCTTTGCAAAACAGGTGCCTGTCAGTAAATAATGACATAACAGAACACAAAAACAAGCTTCATCTCTAAGAACAACATTCATGGTTTGCTCAGTATTGTCCTGGACTAGAATGCCAAGATTTTGACATCTATTGGAAGTCAGTTTAAACTGTTACAATCGTTAATAAAATAAAAAATGGTCATGTTTGCGGGACATGATTGAGAAGGTTGATTGGGAGAGTGAAATGTGCTTAAGTGAATGTTAAGAAAATGAGGCAGATTACTGGGCAACAGACCACACACACGAGGAACGGAGCCCAGGTTACATACTGGCTGAACCCTTTGGTTGGTTGATTGGTTGACTGGTTGGTTGGTTGGTTGGTTGTTTAACGCCGCACTCAGCAATATTCCAGCTATATGGCGGCGGCCTGTATACAATCGAGTCTGGACCAGACAATCCAGTGATCAACAACATGAGCATCGATCTAGGCAGTTTGGATACGATGACATGTGTCACCCAAGCCAGCGAGCCTGACCACCCGAACCCGTTATTCTCTTACAACAAGCATGGGTTGTTGAAGACCAATTCTAACCCGGATCGTCACGGGTCTGAAGCCTTTTGGCTGGACTGTGACGAGCACAGTGGGTACCTTCCCACGAAATAAAGCTGTTGTTCCGTGGAATGAACATTGTCCGTATATCCTACTGACTCATACCGACAGCATATTATGATATGTCGCGAACTCAAATCTATAGCTATGTTCACATGAACAGACGTTCAAAAGAAAGTACACATGTGGTGCTTTGGGGTCATTTTATAAAGAAAAACCAAACAACGACCGGTCGTATATATTCTGAGAAGTGCCTTGCTTGTGACTTACATGAATGTGCGATTTTCAAGATTTTCATGACAGTCCACTCACATGTAAGTCCAATCACAAGCACACATTTCAAAGTTTAACTTTTTTTTTTTTAAATAATCACAATACGCCATGTATGTTTATGCATACTCGATAATCTCCAAGGTATACGTTCCGATAAATCTCCACTGAGATTTATCGGAACATATACCCTGGAGATTATCGAGGATGGTGTTTATGTACCACTGGCTGAACCTGAACTGGATGTGCACGAACCCTGAGCAAAGGGTGACAAACAACATCGAACTTATCTTGACCTGTACATCTCAACACAATGACTCATGGACCTAAGACACACTGAAAGTGTGTGATGATTCTGTCATAAATACAAATGTCAGTCACGCCTATTTGCAGGTATAAAGAAGTGAGGCAGGCATCTGTATTGATAATATACTCACCCCAGCCAATGACACAACACTTTAGCATGAAGTTTGTGAAATATGTTTTGAAGACCACCACCAGTGCCAGATACATGTAGAAAGCCTCTACCGCCATCCATGTCAACGCCGACAGCATGAAGTAGTGCAGCAGCACCGCAACGGCCTACAAAGAAAACGCCAACAAATCCCTGATGATCAGTTTTTCCTAATAATATAAAGTTCGTCCAATTACACAGCTATATATAGGGGAGGATTATTTGTCAGTTGCAGTCACAACTGTCAGGATTCCATATTACACTTCATAATATTACAGACGAAGAAAGGGTCTTTTCTAATAGTCAAATATCTTCTGTTTCTACAGTCTAGTCAGTTTCTTTATAAGGCCTTGTCAAACAAGAGGAAAACATCATTCAGTTATGTCTTAAATTAATTTTAGAAATTATTCTTCCCAATACTGCTTGATCATTCGGTTTACAAAGGTGCGACATGGACATTGGCAGAAAGTTTGACTTAGTTTTTAAGGGTTGGATCCTCACACAGTTTTGGGTGTTATGACTAGAACTAAAGGCAATATTCAGCGTAAAACCAAATTCACTAGCTATTAAAACGCATCATTCTGAAGGCTGCTTATTGGTTGAAGCGTTCGCGTTTCAAGCTGAAAACTCGGGTTTCATTCCCCATATGGGTACAATGAGTGAAGCCCATTTCAGGTATTCACCGACGTGATATGTCTGAAATATTGATATAAACGTTGTCAAAACTTCACTCACACATTCACTCACTCCTTACCAAGGATATGATCTGGTATAAATGCGATCCATTACCTTGCATCCTATGGCGTTCTTGAAGGTGTAGTCTTGCATACCCACAAGGAATATAAAATTAGCCACAGCAAGAGCAATACACAGGTTGATTAGAATCTTAGAAGGGTTGTCCCGACGCAGTTTCCTGTTGACGAAACACATTCCAAGATGAACATACTGCAGGGGACTGCTGCTGATATTCTGTTCTGGGAAATGTTCCAGAAAACGATCTTACTGCTTCGACTGCGATAGACGTCTATAGTTAAAAAACAATAATGTTTTCGATGTTAAACATTATAATATACTAAGCAGCAAAAGAAACGTCAGTTTGGAATTTTCCTTCGCAGAAACGGATAACTGTAAACTCATTTAATATTTTGATTGTAAATTTTTGACAACATCTCCAACTTTACCTGAGCAAAGACATTCCTTCCCAAACTCAGAATGGAACCCAGGAAATGGTCTCAAAAACGCAACCTGATCCCGGAGATGGTACGGTGTTCTCCATGTTTTTCATGCAACTCATGCTGCACGTGCTGTTCACAAGGACCAGCCCTATAAAATGCACCCCAAACCTGGTTGAAACATTCACATTACAACGTCAGCAGGATGCCGCGACTCACGACAGCTCAGAGGAACCAGGCGCTAGGAAGACTTGAAGCTGGCCACACTGCACAAGCCGTCTGCCAAGCACTTCCAGGTCAACGTTCGGACCATCTACAGGTTGCAGCAACGTTTCCGGGCCATCAACACCAAAAAATGATCGCCACCGTACTGGCAAACCAAGGGTGACAACAAGACGACAAGACCGCCATGTTGTGCGACAGCATGTACAGAATCCCTTCATGCAGGCATCCGAAACAGCACGCCAGACAGTGGGAACACACGGGAGACCAATCAGTACTGATACAGTATGCCGACGTCTTAACAGCGGGAACCTCCATTGCCGTAGACCTTACCGTGGACCTATCCCCACCCCTCGTCTACAGTTTGCCCTACAACACCAAAACTGGCGATACAGGCAATGGAGAACTGTTCTGTTCACAGATGAGAGTCGGCACTGCTTATCAACTGCAGATGGCAGAACAAGAATATGGCGACGACGTGGCCAGCGTTACTCAGACCAATGTGTTATGGAAAGAGACTCATGGGGAGGTGCAAGCATCATGGTATGGGTGGAATAGGCCTGAACCAGAGAGTGGGTCCTGTGGTGTTCCAGAACCTTGGTCCAGGGAGAGGAGGCGGCATCACTGCGGTGCGCTACATCGACCAAGCTCTCAGACCAAACGTCATACCACATTTCGCACGTCACCGGAACAACATTTTCCAGCATGAAAACGCCCGGGCCCATACTTTCAGAGCTACACGGGAGTTCCTACAGCAGAACGGTGTCAACAGTATGCAGTGGCCAGCCCTTAGTCCTGATTTAAACCCAATTGAACATCTTTGGGATGTAATTCAGAGGAGACTGAATAATGTCATACCAAGGCCGAACACAGCCGATTTATTGCGCCAGGCCTTTCTCACAGTGTGGTTCCAGGTGCCAATGGCCTTCATCAATCGATTGGTGCACTCCATGCATAGACGCTGTGCTGCAGTTATTGCAGCTCGTGGTGGTCACACTAGATACTGAATTCAAGAGTCTGAATGGACTGCAAGCGTTCACGAAATGTCTTGAAATTCTGCTATTTTCATTGATGTGTTAAGATATTGTACAAATAAAAGGTGTTTGAGACACTTATTATGTCAATTTCTGTACTGATTTGATTACAGTGCCTATCTAAATTTGAATTCGTACTGACGTTATTTTGCTGCTGAGTATACTTCATTACAATTACATATACCTGTTGCAGCCAAAGATGCATTATCAGCGTGAAATTTAACATTTTGTCTGAGATTAAGCAAATTGTGATTACAAAATGTCATTTAGAAAGTGGTTAAATGTAACATATGTTGTATTTGGGATTACACTTTCAGATTCTAGTACTTTTAGTTGGGTTGAGTCCCATCCGGGATTCGAACCCACACCCTCAGAGTCAGGCACCTAACCGTCAGAGTCGGAAAACGCGGTGGCTGAGCAGGTTAGGCGGCTGACTTTGTGTGCTGGCGATTAGGTGCCTGACTCAGAGGGTGTGGGTTCGAATCCCGAATGGGACTCAACCCAACTAAAAGTACTAGAATCTGAAAGTGTAATCTCAAATACAACATATGTTACATTTGACCACTTTCTAAATGACAAAAGTACTAGAATCTGTACTTTAGTAAGAAAGTGTAACCCCAAATATAACATATGTTTAATATATATATATTATTTAATTAATATGCATCTGGTGGTGAAGTGCTATGCATTCTCTAAACTACACAGTGGATAATTCTGTAGTATCTATAATATGACATCACTGTGAGCTCTAATTCTCAAATCAAAACACGTACAATCATTGGAAACAACACATAATAAATTAAACCTTCTCTCATTCATTGTTGAAAAAGTTGTTATTTTCACTCGTTGCGTATCAATCTTTAAGTAAATAAGACAAATGGGACAAGAATAGACAAAATCTCTATAAAATGTCAGAAAACTTAGGTGTATAATTGCAAACGTTAATCAAAATGACAGTAAGTGAATTTCCCTCAGTTAAATTCGATGCAGCCAAGTGCTCCGCAGAAACAGGGCATACTTTATATGCACAGGGATCCGATGCCGAGTTGCTGATCGAATGCCTATAATAAATCATTTATTGCGTAATGAGTGTGTTCGAAATCAAGCATTCAAACACTTTTCTGAAAAGAATAATCCCCACGTATTCATTTTCCCTGGCAACATGCAAGTAATGATAACCAAAACATAATCGATATGTGCAACTGGCAAAATCAACAATTATTTAGTGCTGTTGATCCAATGGCCAAGGGACAGTGCTACGATTTCGCTTTTCGAGGTCCAGTTAACATTGCCGATGATCCATCTATGCCAGCCGCAGGTTCGAATCCAGTGTTTGACGTAATTATGATCCACAGACTACAGCCTGCATCGTGTTGTACATGTACTTTACCTACACTGACATACGTTGTGTAAGCTTGCAGTCTGTTTACAGCACGTGAATGCTCATGCTGTTGATCACTGGATTGTCTGGTCCAGACTCAATTATTTACAGATAGTCGCCATATAGCTGGAATATTGCTGACTGCGGCGTAAAACTAAACTCACCCACTACAGCATGTGAATAAGCATCCCTTTTCTAGCGGTGGGGTAGCCTGTTGGCTAAAGCGTTCGCTGGTCACGCCAAAGATCCAGGTTCGATTCCCCACATGGGTTCATTGTGTGAAGCCCATTTCTGGAGTCTCCCGAGGTAATATTGCTGAAATATTGCTGGCAGTGGCACAAAACTAAACTCACTCACTCTTACAAACACACATGTAATTCTTCCTTCTTTGGCCCTGAAGATCCGGGTTAGAATAATATTATTAATCTTTAGTAACCCGTGCTTGTCGTAAGAAGCGACTAACGGGATTGGCTGGTCAGGCTCGCTGACTTGGCTGATACATGTCATCGGTTCCCAATTGCGTAGATCGATGCTCATGATGTTGATCACTGGATTGTCTGGTCCAGACTCGATTATTTACACACCGCCGCTATATAGCTGGAATATTGCTGAGTGCGGCGTAAAACTAAACTCACTCACTCACATTCTTCCTTCTCTGATGAAGCTCACCTGAACATGAGGTATGTGAGCAATGTGAGCAGCAGGCACAACAGAGAGAGTCCACAGCCGATGTAGGAGATGAACGACAGGGCCACTCGGTCAGTTTCAGATATAGTAGTACCCTCTTCAAAGACATCCTGAAATATATATCACAGAGTGTATCCTGAAACGTACCTACCTATCACTGACATCTTGAAATAGCAACTTTTGAACGTACGGTGTGTTTCCTAAAACGTATCGAAATATCATTGCTATCTTCAAATAGCAACTATTGAATATACGATATTCTTCCTAAAACGTATCTCAATATCATCGACAACTGGAAATAGCAGCTATTGACAGTACGATACGTATCCTAAAAGTATGTGGATATCATTGACATCTTGAAATAGCAAACATTACAGCAACATGCCTGGGAACACCAGATAGGTTTAATGATTCTGTTTGTTTTGCAAGTGTGCAACAATAAACGTCAACCCAAGCAAACAATATGCCTCGATCATCCACCGAAAGATGTGAATTTGGCCGCTTTTAGCAATATTCCAGGCATATCAGGGCAGGAAATGGGCGTCACACAGTGGAGAAGTGAACGCTTCAACCACTAGGCCACCAGATCGTTCCGAAAAGATAGGCAACAACAACGTCTACCCGGGTATAACTTACCATAAGCAGGGCGAAGTTAGTGAGATGGTTGCAAGCACAGACTGTGTAGGTGTCCTTGACGTCTTCCTTCACCTCACAGCCATCTGTAGACCACCCTGCACCGTTGTCTCGCCAGAACACACATCGAGGGTTAACAGCGTTCTGCGAGAAAACAGTAAGAAAGTAGAGGTAATGTTTGAGATGAAACACCATCATCGGTTTATACACCGCATATAGTTTACAACCAACATTTGATGTGGAACTGGAAGGAGAAGAAGTAGAAAGCGAGTAAGTGAGTTTGGGTTTACGCCGCTTTTAGCAATATTCCAGCAATATGACGGCTGGGGACACCAAATATGAGCTTAACACATTGTACCCATGTGGGGAATCGAACTTAACTTCTCTGGTTTATATCGATTTCAATAATTGTATTTCAGCATAACTGTAGCACTAAGATTTTGTTTTTGTAAAAGCGCCATGGAGATTCACTCTTTTTTCAGATATAATGTAACTTGGATGGGTGACCCTGTGTGACAGCTTGACTCCGAGAGTTTCTAGGACTTCAGCTCTGCCCCACAACGAAGCACATGTGATACATGTGGTCTCACCTTAGGAAAGTGAGTTTGTTCAAAATTACCTCTGTTCGCCCAGCAGAAAATGGGTACCCGGTGAAATAAGTCGTGAGACTATTAACCTAGGGTTATCCGGGGTAATAATGATAAGATTGTAGACTTTGAACAGGATATCTAGCCTGGAAAAGTTAAAAATACCCTCATGATTATTATTATTATTATTATCATTATTTATAACTACAGTGTATAAACATATATCATAGATTTGCTTTCTTTTTCCCATAGTTCTGAACTGATATGATTATATCCCAATATCACACATCTTGAGATGAATTTCCATTGTTCCATATGTACGACATACATGCATTACTTCAGATCAACATATGATAATATCCTACCTTCTTAAGATGAGGTAGATGTAAGATGACGGGGTCGGTGAGGTTGGCGATGATGACGTTCGGGACACTGGCTGAGAGGATCTTGCTGTTTATCATCGTGGTCACTTTACCCTGTTCCATGTCAGTCACAGTCAAATCGCCGCTACCTTTATTCTCTACACTAGAACCACCGCTAGATGCTGGTAAAGATGGGACCACACTCCCATCACCCCCTGCTCTTCCGGTTGGATTGACACTTGGACCTTGGCGAGCCTTTTCAAAAACCTTGAGGAGAGAGGGAAGGAAATCGTATTGTCTTTAATGTATCCACACATAACCTTTATGACATAGTGTGGTCCTTTACACCAAGAATACATTGTGCATATGAAAACGACTAAATTTGTTTATTATATTGAAATGTTGATGAATATACGTATTTGGTTGAATATTGAATTCAAGGTTGACATACACAGTTAATAAGCATTAAAACATCCTCCATATTCAGATTTCAATAGCTTCACCTTGTACTGAAATGAGAACGGCTCTATTCACGTCGTTTTAGAAGTATCTTGAATAACTTCTTACGTACTTTCTATCATGATCACAATCTCGGTTAATGCATAGTTCTGGCAGGGTGAAGGACTGGATTAAAAGGAGAAATGATTTACACCACAGGGCTAACTGTATGACGTTGCCAACGTATCACATGCCATGGCTGTATTGGTGCATGTGCGTCAGTGGTGTCTGACTGGGTCTAACGTTCTGACTCCGGGATTGGTTGCTAATAAATTTCTACATAATCCTCTCCGAGATGTTCACACTGATGCCTTAGTACCAATAATGTATGAGTCCTCCTCCTGGTGGAGTAAAAAAGTTTCCACAACAGAAAGGCAATTATCATCCTTTCCCAACGTGGACATTAATCCACATGCATAGATGTTGGAGTAGAGAGTGACAGAGTGAGTTTAGTTTTACGCAGCACTCAGCAATATTCCAGCTATATGGCGGCGGTCTGTAAATAATCGAGTCTGGACCAGACAATCCAGTGATCAACATCATGAGCATCGATCTGCGCAATTGGGAACCGATGACATGTGTCAACCAAGCCAGCGAGTCTGACCACCCGATCCCGATAGTCGCCTCTTACAACAAGCATGGGTTACTGAAGGTTCATTCTAACCCGGATCTTCCCGGGTGGTTGGAGTAGAGGTACTTGGTGACATTGTAGTAGCCTATTTTGGTCATTGTCATTAGCAGAGAATACCTAGAAACTCTAAGAAATATGCTGCCTGATTGTGTATTTGATTCAAATGTATTCTGTAAGCGTGGATAGTATGCACTTGTATAGTTACCAATAATCTGTCCTAGTTTTCAACCCTTTTCAGGATATGTGATTGTACAATGTGGATGTGGGTGTCCAAGATGAACAAATGTACGACATTTAATTTTGTGTTTTGAATGTGTATGCACAAAGTGAATGTTCAGTGATGACCTTTACGAACATGCAAAACATTGTCAGCATATATCAAATTGCGATGCAACAACGCATGTTGCACCTGTTCTATATACACTCACAGTAAATAATTTATCCGTCGGATACACTGCAAATATAACTCTGTTTGCTTTCGTCATGGCCCCAGGAGGTATGGAAACAAAGAGTCCCTCGGGAAGCATGATTGTTGCCATTGCTTTGTCTTCTCGTTCAGGGTTGTTTCCCCTTCTGACCTCGACCTTTCAAACAAAAATGAAGAAAGCAAGCTCAATAACATTTTAGTGACTTTCATTAGTTAAGATCACGTTATCTTCATCTGTTTTTCTTGGGATTTTCCTTTTTAATTCTGATACATAGTTTTCCTCCGAAATGTGTGCTTTGATTTCTGTCAAACAAAAATGTATACTAAACACAACTATATTAAAGACTATACTTGTTCTTATCATGTGAATGTGAAAGGATGTGAAAACGAAAGGACGTAGGAATGCACCCTACCGTATCCCCAGTGAGCGTGCCATCGTTAGAATTCGACGAATCCGTGGTGAAAGAAACCCCAGAAAAGTTCCTAGGGTCGATGCTGACGGCTGCCACGGCAATGTTGGGTTGGACTAGGAGAAGATCCCCGTCACTCAGAGATGAAGACGTTGTCATCAAATTCACAGACGATATCAGTCTGCAAAATGATAGACATCGTATTTTTATAACTGAACGTAATAGATGTTGAGCATTAATAATACACTATGCCACATTTCAGGCTCAAAATGAGACAAAATAATGAAAATCGGACTTTGCTCGATGAGTTTAAAGCCCTAAAAAGTACCGATCTGAGCACTGGAACGAATATATTCAATTACACAGAAAACAAGACTCACTGGACCGAAGTAAGTCACCCTTAAATTTCGCTGGATGTTTAACTACCCAAAAATTAATCATGTATGAATGTACACAAGTAGACTCGGAAGTGAAGGAGAATTCTACACGAATGCAACACCTAGTTTCAAGGAGAAGATACATGCGTTTTCCAAGCAATTGTAAGGTATAGTAAATATTGTGCGGTTGCACGGGAATGCAGCCCTACCCCAAGTTTGATATATGCATTTTCAATCAGTTACAACGCATTCAACAGAATGTGTAATTACGAATACCATCCACAGTTTTAGGAGGACATGTTTGCGTGTTGATTCAGTTATATACCCTGTACCTTGTCGTTGCTTGTTTCTTCTGTTCCGCCTCCAGAAGCACCTCGCCGGGGACGACGATGATGTAGCTGACGGATGCTAGAGTGTTGTTGATGACCTCCCTGGAACTGAGAGAGCTTTCCAGCCTGGCAATCTTCTCCACAATGTTCACTGCGAAGTTCACGTCAGTTTGTGTGAAGTTGGCAGCCCTCGTGGTTATCATCTGCAACTCTTTGGAGACCTCCAGCACATTGTCTGAAAATGCGAGTTCAGCGAGTGAGTCTGTTGTTTGTGAAATCGTTTCAGCCGATTCTGACAAGGTGATCATGCTAATGTTAAGTCTCAAAGCCCACCCAAGTGAGACCATTCTTCGGTCTCTACCATCTAACGAAAAAGAAAGAATCGTTCCTTATCTTGTGAGTGGTGAGTGAGTGAGTGAGTAAGAGTTGAAAGGTGGGTAACACCGTTTTAAAGTATTTCAGTCATATCACTGAATGTCAGCTTGACGTTTGCCACTTTGGTGCAATTCCTCTGAGCAGATAGGGTGCTGAGAAAACGAACAACGTGATCGGCGGGAACCGGGATAGAATCCAGGTCGGTGTCCATCGCACCCAAGGGACGCAGCTCTGCTTAGCGAACTGCGGCAAGTAGGACAAAATGGCCCAATCAAATCGCTCATTTGAGGCGTTCAACTCACACATGGTTGTATTCTTTGTTTCTTGTCTTGGACATAATCAGCTGTTGATATAATGAACTAATCATGTAGTTCATACAAGTTCTTAGAGGGAATGTTTCAGTATATATTAACCAGACCATAGCAAATCTCGATACCCACCAGTGGTTATTGTGTCCAAAGCGAGGTCTTCTAGTCGTCTTGTGACGTTGCTAGCGAACGGACATGCTTCAAGATTGGCGTCCATCCAAATCGCCCTGTTATTAACTTTGACGCTGAAACATATTCACAACGAAGTACATGTATGCCCGAGAGCTATACAGCGGTGCCTATATAATAATGGTAAGTTTGGTTGGGAAAGAGGTAGTGGCAGATGAAGAAGAGGTGATGACCGTAACTGAAGTGATTTGTTAGAATGTAGTACAGAACCGGATAACTACGAGGTTGTAATGACAGTGGTTGTGAGTGCAACACTTAATAACACAATGTTATGTAATGTTACAATTTCAAATTCTAGTAGTTTTAGTCTGAATTCCATCCGAGATTCTAACCTTCGACTCAGGTACCTAATCGGCAGTATACGAAGTCAGCCATCTAACCTCCCACGGCTAACGACTAAATAGAAGTCTGACAAATGGCGGTCTAGATCATGGGTGGCCTAGATCTCTCTTGTGTACCCCTCTGACAGTGGAAATTGACACGGCTTCCAAGGCCGATAGCAATGAATACACAATGCCATTGAGAAAGTGGTTAAATGTAACACGTTATATTTGGGAAATTGTAATGACAAATATTGTGCATTCATAACACAAACGTAGATCGATTCTCATGGTGTTGATCACTGTATTGTCTCCAATCCAGGCACATGCAAGGGACGTTACCCTGTCCTACAAATGACATAACTCAAGAAATAGCAACACAATATAATTTCCTTATCATGACTTACCATTTTCGAAAGGCTTGAAGAAGAATGCGGCCGAGTGTCTCATGCGGACACGTGACCTGTGCCGTCTTGTCAACTAATGTCTCAGGCCACTCGAAAGAACCCTTGCTAGTTTTCTGTGTCTCGGGCTGACAGAACATTGGAGCTGAGGACAGAACACAGACCATGTCAGATGTCACACATTTTATAGTCGTCCAATTATGTTACGGGTCCTGAGATATTTCGTACCATGTTCATACACATCTGGGCGGTGGGGTAGCCTAATGGTTAAAGCGTTGGCTCGTCACGCCGAAGACCCGGGTTCGAATCCCCACATGGGCACAATGTGTGAAGCCCATTTCTGGTGTCCCCCGCCGTGATGCTGCTGGAATATTGCTAAAAGCGGCGTAAAACCAAACTCAGTCAGTCAGTCAGTCAGTCAGTCATACACATCTTTTGTAATCAGCTCGTTAAATTAGGAAATAATTTGGCTGTCCAAAGCTGGGGAGAATATAATGTGTACGAAGAGGCATTGTGTCCATGTCGGTCCTTTTTTGGTTTGTTGTGTCAACCTTTTGCAACGACGTAATTGGTCAAACTGTTCCACATCTCTGTTTATTCATGTATATTCACTTCCGGGTGAATGCGTACTCTCAATTAGTACAAAACTATGTTGCAATGAGAAAAGATGTTTGTACTTTATAGGACAATAAAGCCTATACAATGGATGTCAATACGACTTTAATCTTGTTAAAGCAACCAAGATCTAGTTCTTTATATTTATGATGTATGAGGTTGATATTTGCTAAACCTTACTCTCATTAAATGCCATTTTTATTTTATATCTTGTTGAAGTGAAAAAGCTCACAACTGTGTTTGATGAAAATATCCCTTTCCATGTTATCTATGACATTTGCCATGATGTCAACATGAACAAACGTCATGTTTACTCAAATATATTAAGGAAGATTTCTTATGAAAATGGATAGTAAAGAACATCATAAAATATTGTCCATACACTGAAGAGGCCTGACTCAATCTTTCAAAGCGAAAAACGGTATATAGCTTCCTAAGGAAAAGCAAAGCAAATATCTTTTGCTTACAACATGTACATTTTACAAAGGATCAAGAGCCACTCATAAGACAGCAATGCGATTATAATGAAATTTACATAAGCCATTGCAAAAGGACTGCAAAAGGGCCAGCAATTTTGTTCAGTGATAATTTTGAATTTGAAATTAAGAATGTAAGGAGGGAAATTCTGTAGGCTTAAGTGTTATGATAAGTGATTGTAAGTATACTGTTATAAATATATATGGACCAAATACAGATAAACCAGATTTGGAAAATGACAAGATAAGCATGTGTGGTAAATGGAACTTAGTGTTGATGCTGATATAGATATAATTATCAATATTAGCCAGACAGGAAAAACTTCACTTAGTTCAAAATGAAAAGAAAAAACGATCAATATTAGAAGATATCAATGAACTTGGAAGAACTAGAAAAACAAAAATCTCAGAGAGCCTTTATTAGATCTGAAGCAAAATGGAACGAGCATGGAGAAAAAAACAAGTCAATATATTTCACACCTGGAATATCGAAATGTTCTAAATAAATCCATACAATAATTGCATAAAAGTGATGGGAAAATATTGAAAGGCCAAAAAAGATATTAGAAGAAACAAAACATTACTACAAAAAGATGTATACAATCAGTGAATGTGGATAGGTTAGTTTGGAAACTGTATCTTCTGAATTCGATGTGAAAACCAAAAAGGCTTTGTGGAAGGGAGACATCTAGGGGAAATAACAAGACTGATTTATGATTTAATGGACTATGCAGAAACCTATAAACAATATGGCTTACTTTCAGTGATCGGCTTCGAAAAAGCCTCCGATTCTGTGGATAGAAAATTCATGCAGAATGACTTAAAACGAAATTATGGCCAGAGTATTCAAAATTGGATTACAGTACTTTTGATGGGGCTGAATCTAGTGTTTTAGTAAATGGATATGGAAGTTCCTTCTTTCCAATAACAAGAGGTTGTCGCCAGGGGGATCCAGTATCTCCTTATTTCTTTATTCTGTGTGATTCTTGCACTACTTATTAGAAAAGATAAAAATATTAAGAGTGTAAGTATGGGCAATATTATATAGAACATATTTTAGAGCAATTTGCAGATGACACTATCTTAACCCTAGATGGATCAGAAAAGTGACTACAAGCAGTTTTTAACATTTTAAGTTTTGTTTGCAAGATTTTCAGGACTCAAAGTGAATGCTGAAAAGACCAAATTATTTGGATTGGTTCTCCCCCAAAACAATCTCAGATAAAACTATGCAAGCATATAAATTAAGACTGGAACCAGACAAAATTTAGACCTAGAAAATATGCAAGACCTGAATTATGAAAATAACTCATTTCAATTGAGAAGTAATGAGAATGTGGTCAAGTAGAAATTTAACTCCTGTGGGAAGAATGTTCTTTTCAAATCTTTGCTACTTCCGAAACTAAATCACTTGTTTAGCATCTTACCAAATCCATCTATTCCAACCACAGACAAGTTCCCCCAAACATATTTCGCCTTTATTTGAAAAGGGAAAAGAAATAAGATAAGGAGAAGCACAATGAAAAAACAATTTCAATTTGAGGAATAGGTGCACCAGACATACAAAATACTATCTCTGATCAAAAATTTAACTGGATAAGGAAAATAATACAAAATCCACAAAAATATAAATACATAATAGAAAGATGTCTTCCATCAACTGACAGTGTTTGGTTGGCAGAACAAGTCTTTATAAAGACAAATGTTTTACCATATGTCTCAAATCTATTTTTGAGAGATGTACTACAAGGTGGGGCTGACAGATTCAGGGATTCAGCAATCTGGTTGAATTACAGACCAAGTTTGATATGAAAGTGGACTATTTAAGATTCCAGGGTTTGCGAGTCTCAGTTTATGACTATAGATAAAAACATGTAAAACATAATTCACAGACACAGGAATGTCTTTTTTATTCTTTAATTGTTTGAAGCTTGGAAAACTGAAAAGGCAGTAATCATTTTGCAAGAATTGCACAAAAGTGATGGGAAAATATTGAAAGGCCAAAAAAGATATTAGAAGAAACAAAACATTACTACAAAAAGATGTATACAATCAGTGAATGTGGATAGGTTAGTTTGGAAACTGTATCTTCTGAATTCGATGTGAAAACCAAAAGGCTTTGTGGAAGGGAGACATCTAGGGAAATAACAAGACTGATTTATGATTTAATGGACTATGCAGAAACCTATAAACAATGTGGCTTACTTTCAGTGATCGGCTTCGAAAAAGCCTCCGATTCTGTGGATAGAAAATTCATGCAGAATGACTTAAAACGAAATTATGGCCAGAGTATTCAAAATTGGATTACAGTACTTTTTGATGGGGCTGAATCTAGTGTTTTAGTAAATGGATATGGAAGTTCCTTCTTTCCAATAACAAGAGGTTGTCGCCAGGGGGATCCAGTATCTCCTTATTTCTTTATTCTGTGTGATTCTTGCACTACTTATTAGAAAAGATAAAAATATTAAGAGTGTAAGTATGGGCAATATTATATAGAACATATTTTAGAGCAATTTGCAGATGACACTATCTTAACCCTAGATGGATCAGAAAAGTGACTACAAGCAGTTTTTAACATTTTAAGTTTTGTTTGCAAGATTTTCAGGACTCAAAGTGAATGCTGAAAAGACCAAATTATTTGGATTGGTTCTCCCCCAAAACAATCTCAGATAAAACTATGCAAGCATATAAATTAAGACTGGAACCAGACAAAATTTAGACCTAGAAAATATGCAAGACCTGAATTATGAAAATAACTCATTTCAATTGAGAAGTAATGAGAATGTGGTCAAGTAGAAATTTAACTCCTGTGGGAAGAATGTTCTTTTCAAATCTTTGCTACTTCCGAAACTAAATCACTTGTTTAGCATCTTACCAAATCCATCTATTCCAACCACAGACAAGTTCCCCCAAACATATTTCGCCTTTATTTGAAAAGGGAAAAGAAATAAGATAAGGAAAAACAATTTCAATTTGGAGGAATAGGTGCACCAGACATACAAAATACTATCTCTGATCAAAAATTTAACTGGATAAGGAAAATAATACAAAATCCACAAAAATATAAATACATAATAGAAAGATGTCTTCCATCAACTGACAGTGTTTGGTTGGCAGAACAAGTCTTTATAAAGACAAATGTTTTACCATATGTCTCAAATCTATTTTTGAGAGATGTACTACAAGGTGGGGCTGACAGATTCAGGGATTCAGCAATCTGGTTGAATTACAGACCAAGTTTGATATGAAAGTGGACTATTTAAGATTCCAGGGTTTGCGAGTCTCAGTTTATGACTATAGATAAAAACATGTAAAACATAATTCACAGACACAGGAATGTCTTTTTTATTTCTTTAATTGTTTGAAGCTTGGAAAACTGAAAAGGCAGTAATCATTTTGCAAGAATTGCACAAAAGTGATGGGAAAATATTGAAAGGCCAAAAAGATATTAGAAGAAACAAAACATTACTACAAAAAAGATGTATACAATCAGTGAATGTGGATAGGTTAGTTTGGAAACTGTATCTTCTGAATTCGATGTGAAAACCAAAAAGGCTTTGTGGAAGGGAGACATCTAGGGAAATAACAAGACTGATTTATGATTTAATGGACTATGCAGAAACCTATAAACAATGTGGCTTACTTTCAGTGATCGGCTTCGAAAAAGCCTCCGATTCTGTGGATAGAAAATTCATGCAGAATGACTTAAAACGAAATTATGGCCAGAGTATTCAAAATTGGATTACAGTACTTTTGATGGGGCTGAATCTAGTGTTTTAGTAAATGGATATGGAAGTTCCTTCTTTCCAATAACAAGAGGTTGTCGCCAGGGGGATCCAGTATCTCCTTATTTCTTTATTCTGTGTGATTCTTGCACTACTTATTAGAAAAGATAAAAATATTAAGAGTGTAAGTATGGGCAATATTATATAGAACATATTTTAGAGCAATTTGCAGATGACACTATCTTAACCCTAGATGGATCAGAAAAGTGACTACAAGCAGTTTTAACATTTTAAGTTTTGTTTGCAAGATTTTCAGGACTCAAAGTGAA